GTTATTGTGATGTCATAAAATTATGGAGTTTGTATGGCCACTATCATAAGAGGGCTGCCTTGAACTGGGTAACATGGAATTTGTTTAAAGTCAAGCTCAGCCTTATCTGGTTGTGCCAAAAAGCTTTAAAACTTAATAATCTACCATGACTGAGTAGCAAAAAGCTGCTCTTGCACTCTATTTATGACTACCTGCTGCAATGGGAAGAGGTAGGAAAATAAAAGCTGGTGGGAAATCCATCTGCTGTGATAAAACTACTGTTGGTTTACAGCATGACAGTGTTTGTTGACAATGAGAGGGAAAAACTATAGAGATGGGGTAACATTTCTTCCACCTGTTGTTAAACAAGATGTGTGGGCTTTGTTTATCAAGGCTGTGTTCTCTACAGCACTTATTTGTGGAAAGAGAAATGTAATCAGAGGAAAAACTCTGCTGAAAAAAAAAAATAGGAGTGCTTTGTTGTGCTGCTGTCAGCAATCTTGTTCCTGCTGCTGGCATGACTGTATGCCATGATTTTTTCATTGAAAAGCATTTTTTCTGGAATTTTACATGGCATCTGCAGAAAATGCCCAAAGGCATAATGGCTGAGATACCCAGAACTAATTGTCTGCAACGTGGAGGGAAGTTCATAGAGCCTCTATTTTGAATGAGCATCTCCAATTACTTGAGGACATTTTTAAAGCAGTGGCGTATTTTACAGAGGGAGGGGGAAAACCCAAACACAGCTTGTCAATGGAATCTGTTGATGTTGGCATTCAGTGCTGTAGATATTAACAGTGGGATAATACTTGCAATTCATTTAGCCTGAAAACAAAAAGCAGCCAGAGTAAGGCCAAGGTTTAGAATAATGAGTCTCCAAAGGTAGGTTCCTCACTCAATGTTTATTTGCTTAATAAGGACGATAACTTTTTAAAAAAGTGTCAAGTACTCACCAACTGCTATTAATATCAGCAGAATTAGTAGCAAAGGAAATAACTAAGAATGGTGGCATAGTCATTAAGTTGATTTCGTGCAAGGTAATCTGTGCATGTGGTCAGAAACAAGCCAAGTATTCAGTCTGCGGGTCCTGGCCCAAATGAGCCTACTCTCTGATGTAAAATAATACCAAAAAACAGAATTGTGTGTCACAGACAGGAAGGTAACAGGGGTAGGAGAAGAAAGATCCTATTGTCAGCTGAGGGAGGTGTACATTTCTCCGGTGGATTTGATGTGGTGTTTTAACTGTCCTCATTCCTACAGGCAGCATGGGAAGCAAACGTTGAGGGATAAGGTTGCTTGGCAGGTGGACTTGGCCTGTGTGCCCTGTGCAGAAGGGGCAGCATGGAAGGTGACACTGAGGCACCTGTGTGCCTTTGAAGGAGGAGGCAGGAGACACGGGCAGATTGGAACACACATGGCCAGTGTGATGGGAGCTCAAAATGTAGGCTTGCTGTGCAGGGGACTGAATTAGTGTCAGATGACATCATATGCAATTACTGATTATATTTAGAATATGTGGTAATATGTTCTGAGACCTTCCATATGTTAATTATGCAAGCTTCGATGTATGTCTACAGGAAGCTTGTGAAGTCAAAGCAAGCCAAGGTAGGGAAAATATTTTCTCTATATGAACTTTAAACATAGTTCTGCAAGAAGGTAACGTGCCACAACCAAATTTATTTTTAGTTTAAAGTTAGTTGTCTTTAATGTACGCAAGATTTGTGTACTTGAGTATTCGGGCTTAGTTGATATTTTGAGACATGAAAGTATTTGCTCCATTGTTATCAAATGTGATCTTTGGGAAAAGTAGAGAACAAATGTTTCTAATGCATTACATTATAAAATTAATTTTAAGGCTCAAAGACCTCTGTGGAATCTGCTAGCCAATATTAAAAATATTGCCTCTGAAATACCTTAAAAACTTACTGTATGTGGATGAGCTAAAAAATCCCACAAACAAGCCCCCTTCACACGACAAAAACCCCCAAACCAAGACCCAGAAAAGCTCTTGTAAATTTACATTTTATGTGTAAGGTCTCTTACTATCCTTCTGACCATCCTTACAGTGATCTCAGCAGCATAATACCAAATACTTGAAAATGTGACTGTTCATGCTGATAAGCAGCTTTGTGTATGTGAATAGCCTGGGCCCTTAAACTCAGGCAAAGAGAAGATTAAATTAATTAAAAGCACATTATTAGTCTAGGCTGAAGTGGAACTGGGGTAGACTACCTGCAGAACTTTTCTTCTACCTTTGAAAAATCCTAATCTATTTTACTGCCAGTAATGCATGGGTTTCAGCTAAACATCTGGGGGGAAAAGTAATTTTTATATTTTTTTTTAAGTAGAAAGTCTTTGTCTTTTACGGAAAATCTAGTGAAAAACTGACTTTTCTGAACAGATTGAACAGTTTTGCCTGTGTACTTAACAATTTGATTTGAAAACACTGCAGGAAGAAACTGTTGGAAATTGTAGTTCAGCTGTCTTATGTTTCCAGTCTGTCTGTCTGGATTTCATAATAAAAATTGCAAAATTTTTTGATAATTAGATATAATCTGTTTGCGGGGCCCAGTTCAGACATTGTGTAAAACAGTAAGTTCTCAAACTAGAACATGGTGTCAATAAAGACTTCAGATTTGAGATGCAGTAGATATTTTTCTGTAGAAAGTCTACTCTTCTTTCTCCTCCTCCTCCTCCCCAGCATTTACTAGAAAGCTTAAATTTCAGCGTTTTTGTGGAAAATATTTGACTGACCTGCTTAAAGCTTTTTGTTTCAGAATAATGGTTCACTCAAAACTGCTTAAAACCAAAGCTGTGATTTAGCCCAGGTCGCATGGCAAGATGTCAGGGCTGAGAGGTGTCCGGGGGAAGAATTTCCCTTCTTCCTTGTCTTTTGACAGGTACCTCTTGTCCCCCAGGTAATTTCTCTGTTATATATGGGACTGAGCTACTACTCTGCACACACAAGGAGTATAAATACCTCTTGGAATATTTAATTGAAGTTGTTTTTGTAGTAAAATCCAACGTGGGAGTGTCCCATCACTGGTGTTTGAAATGTGAACTTGCGCCTTAACATTTCACCTAATGCTGCCTTTTTTCATCAAAGACTTCCAAATATATAACATTTATTTCACTGCCATGGTGATATGAAAGAACAGTGACGGCACTTGCTGTCATTGGACAAACTGGGACTGTTTGCTCTTCTGAGCTGGCTAATGAGGAAATGGAAGAAACCAATATCATCAATCTCACATTTTGTACTCTGGTATTTTTGTGAAAAGAGATTTTTTTTGTTTCCTCCCCACGGGTAAGGTGGAGTAATAAACTTTTCCATAACTTTCCTAAACCAGATCACATAAGTGCTGTGGAATGGGCAGGGAGGAGTTGACTGACCCTCAAAGTCCTCTGTGGTGTGGCTGTAGCTGGTGTGAAGCAATGGAAATGACTGAATGCTAACATTGAGGGGGGTGAGGAACCAAAGGGAGAAATTTGTGCTGGTGGTAGGGAAGGTGAAATGGGCATCATAGGGACAAGGTAAATAGTGCACAGCAAAAGTCTTGACTGGAATAGAGGTGAAGGAGGTTTGATTTTCTGTTAAGGTAGGTGGTTTTGCACCAGGTGTTAGTAATAAAATTTTCTGCAAAAGAAAAATGAAAAATCACCTGGGAGAATGCTGGAATAACCTCTGTTGGACACCCTCATTTGGGCTGACTTTAAAAGGGGGTAGAGGTATCTTTCTGCTGTTAGAAGGAGAGCAACAACTGGGAATTGTACTATTATGTGAAAGTTCAACTTCCCACATTAGAGACATAACGTTGCAGAGTCCAACAAAACCCAATGCAACTGACAGTATTTTAGGTTTGATTTTGGTAAGCCGTGAAGGCCTAGAAAATAACTTTGGCAAATAACTTTGAACAATATGATTGAGCATAAATACAAGAGCTGTCATAAAATGCATTTGCCTCCATTTTATGACTGCATTGTTGTAGTGGCTGGATAGAATATTTTCTTTTCAGACATCACTGCGCATTTCTTCCTTGCCTGTTTTTGTCAGAGTTCTTCAAAAGCTGCTCAGCATGAACTCTAAACTGCTTCCCACGTGTTATCTCTTGTTCTGATTTACAACTACCCAGGGAAGTTCATCTGCAGCATTGCTGTGTTCAGGTTAACTGTCTATATGAAAATAATGTGCTTAAAGTTTTAGAGCTTCCTGTCCTTTTAACGGTGCTGCAGCTTTGGTGTTTCGAGATGCTGGAAGCCGATTCTTTGCCTTGGAAGGTCAGTCTCTCGTTTCATAAGAGACAGATTGGGAAAGGCTTCATGCCTTTTTCTTTTTTAAATCTCGTATTTGGCTTCTTATAAAAAAGAGAGATGCTTTTGGGAGCGTTGATTTATAGTTTTGTCAGTATGAACAAATAGAAAAGCCAAGAGATAGCCAAGAGATGACATCTTGACATAGATTTTCTATTCATGTAGAAACCCCCAAAAATGCTTAAAAATGGAAGTCTGTCTCCTACTGTAGGCTCATCTATAGGTGGGAATAGAACAATAATGAGAAAAAAGAACTGCTATATATGTGAGAAGTCAGCTGAATAGCATCCTTTCCTAGTGTTATGCTAATAGAATTACAGCTTTCCACTCCAACTGTCTTTAATCATTTGCTTGTCCAGATCAAGACACATTGCCTCTTTGAATACTTCATAAAATGCAATATATGATATATATAATTTAGAATAATATATATAAATATATGTAAAAATAACATATAACTATATAATTTCTGTATAACATATATGTCATGTTGGATAATGAGCTGAAACAGACTCTTTAAAGAAATCCCTTTTGCTGTTACAGAAAGGAACAGGATTCCCATGATGTGTATGTACAGTGCAGAGGGAACTCAATACCCAGTTAGTAGTTCACTGCATGGCATTTAAAATCAGTATAATGATACCAAAGTTAGCAATGGCTTATAACAGCAACCTTTTCTTTGCTTCAGGAAGATTTTAAATACTCATGGCCAGGATCTTACCGAGAGGAAGCTCTTCAGTGGATGAGGGTCTTCCTTTGTTGCTGTTGACTGGACAGTGAATTTCCCCAAAGGAGAAGGAACAGAATTTGGTGGCATCCAGAGAAAGCCACACAACCTCATTGCAATGCTCACCTGTGAACAGACTCACCTAAGAGGAGAAGAGAATCAAATCATGCAATCTCTGACCATCTGTCCATTATCTGCAGCTGGAACTAGATATTGTCCAGAGGAGAAATGATGGTCAGTGAGTGAGTTCAGTTCAATTCCCTTCCCCCTTGTAGTGCTCAGGGATAGACCATTGAGTGCTTTCTACTTACCAGGGTAACTACCTTGACTTATAAAGTCAAATAGTCTGACTGACTTGTTAGGCACTGAAAATGCAGGGTTTTTTCTCTGCTTAGGCTCCCAAATGTAAATGATAGCACAGAGGTGCCCTGAGGATTGGAAGAGGAGCTTGGCTTGGATTCAAGGACAGTCAAAACAACAGAAGAGGTAGTACATAATCAGTGACCTCTCTGATAAAGGTCGAAAAGCATCTATGGCAAAGGTAAAAGGAAGGACCCTCAGAGCCCCTACAGTTGTGTTCTATCTTTGGACTGAAGGGGAAAACTGCAAGCACTGAGCAGCATCCTTGTGGTACTGCACTCGAATTTAAGGACTTTTCCTGGAAACAGCCTAAGTGCAACTCCAGCCAGGTAATAAAAATCCCTCCTCAGACATTCACCCTAAGAACTGACGTAGCTCTGATGCATTAAGACGCTGAATTAGTTGGACAATGCTGTAATCTTCTTCATTTCCCAATGCACAGGAATTAAAGAACTGAGTAGTGTTAAAACACTTTGAATGCCCCTAAGACCTGTTTGGATGGTTCTAGCTGGAGGAACTGTTGTCTTGCCATTCTTGTGTGACCAGAGCTCTTTGTCTGTCTACCTCTAATTGGTGCATCTAATGCACACCAAGCAAATAGCATTGCCCCATGGCAATGCCTGCTGCCATTTCAGCTTTGAAACTCTTGTTATTTCAGATTTTAGAAAACTTGAAACTCTCCACTTTGGTCTGGCTTTGTATTGGTTTATCTTCATGTTCAGTTTCAAAAAGAGGTTTGGCTAAATGAGACACTGCATAGCTGTGTGCATAGTCACAGATGTGCACAGCTGGGCACTATCTGAGGCTTTCCCAATTGTGCTTTCATTCCTTCTCCAGTTCATACGTCCAAATGGTTCCTGAGAGAAGTCGAGCACCAAACATAAGCGAAAATATTTTGCCCTTTCAAGTTTGAATCTCTAAATGTTACTGTTCCCCTTGAGGTCAGTGCAAGATTTTTATTTCCCTGTTCTAAGCAGGGTAGAAAATTGCCAGTATTTTTTTTTCCTCATCTTCACAGGATTTATCCATGTGCAATCACTGCTGATTGGATTCTCCCTTTTCAGGCACCCAGCTGTGCTGCCTGAATGCTCACCCCAGCCTGCCTGCCAATTTTAAATGCTTTACAGGGTCATGTTTTTATTCAAGCCAATCTGAATTGCACAGCACATCAAATGTTCCACTTCAAAAAAACCCCCAAAAACCCCCACAAAAAATCTGCCCAAACTAGCTACCAAAAACCAAACCCACCCTATCCCCCAAACCCCAACCTCACGTCTTATATTTGTGGGATATCCCACTGTAGAATGACATTTGTCATGACAAGAGCTGCATCTGAACAGAAGTGAAGTTGGGCCTCTCCTGAGAATTTCGGTGGTTGGGTTACCCTGTTCCTCCTTGAATATCTCACCTTTTCTACCATGGCAGAACTTTTTCCTCAGTCACCACCTTTGGAAGCTTAAGTTGCTTTATGGCAACAAATCTCTTCCAACCACCTTCTGCAGGAAATGGAAAAAAAATGTCTTGTCATATAATGAATGAAGTTGCATAATTGTTTGCCCATGTTGAAAGCTCCATTATTTTGTTCAGAAGGTCTTTCCTGAATGTACTTTTTTCTTCACTGATTTGAAAGCTGAGGTACTTTTCTGAGCCAACCCATTATGAACTCGGGAGAATGAAAGCTGATTTTGTGGCTCAAGGGGAGTACCTTGTGAAACTTAAAGTATTCATGAGCTTTTTGACTACAAACCAGAGAAACTGCAGTAGTTTTAGTTTTGATTGCTGTGGCTTGAATTACTGTCAGAGACATCTCTCTCCTGGATGATTGTCTTCAAAGTATTTCTCCCCTTAATATGCTTGAATGATACCATGATATGTTCTGGTTAGGCTGCTGAGGCTGCAAGATAACAGATGTGTGTTTACATAAGTTGTCACTGTTCTTTCTCTTCTCTCTCTTTTTTTTTTTTTTTGGTCAAAAAGTGTGTGACATTTTTGTCAAAATCAACTCTTGAACACTTCTCCAATGTTATTGTCATAACAGCTTCTGTTAAGAAGGCTTTAGAGGGTCCTTCAAAAACTAAAGATAATCTTTGAATAATAACATATGTAAACTTGAATTCACAGACCTACTGGAAATAGTGGAAAACTGAGAAAAAGTTGTCATGGAAACCACTAACACCGAGATATGGGTGAAAAAACAAGCTTTCATTCAGAGACCACAATTATTTGCAAAAGAATCTGTGAGCTTCTGAAACGCTTTTTCCCTACTCAGTTCTGCTGGTAAGACTGCTTTTAATTTTCACAAATGTATGTGTGGATTCACATGTGTACACAGATGAGGAACACTGTGCTTTGTGCTAGATGAATAAAAAAAGAGTTCTGGAAGATGAAATTGCTGAGGATCAAAGAGACAGACTAAGAGGAGGATTTTGTTGGCCTCTCATGTTTGATTAAAGGTTTTCCATTTTTGATAAAATGTGTTTATTGACTGAGCACAAAAGAGAAAAACGTCTGTCTGAAATAAATGTATGGGCATGATGTGGAATAAAAAGAGAGTATCTGACAAGCCTGGCTGATCAGAAAATGAAATGGCAACTGAAATCAAGAAAAGGAAAGGAAGTCTGTGTTTATAGTCTGTATTTTAGATATTCTTCTATTGAGTTTGCGTTGCCAAAAGTTATTCAACATTCCTACCAAATGTGTAGTTTGTATTTAAATATGGATTTATACAGCAGTTGTTTTTAATTCAGATGTTTAAATTGTTTAAAGATTGCATTGGACAATGATAGGTCTGTCTAATTTAGGTAGATCTAAAATTAAAATGTTGCCTCTATCTTTACAGAGCTCTTTCAACTCAAATATTTCAGTGTTACAAAATTCTTTGGAATGTACTGAACTGACAGTTCTGCACAGAAGACTCAGGCTATGTTCTCAAAGGCCTATGACATACACTTTGAGAGACCTGAAGTACAGAGTGACTTCAAATAGGGAAAGACAAGTCAGATCTTGAATTTTTTTTCTGTTTCATTCAGCTTCATAAGAAAAATACATTTACAGAAAAGGTTTGAGATGGTTCTTCAAGACTAACAGAACTTAGAACAAGGTTCTAAGCTGGAACAGACAGAACAAGACACGTTATTCAGGGAATGAACAAATCTCCAGTACAGCAAAATAGCATATGGCTAAGGAGGATTACCTCAGTTTTTGTAATAATCTTGTAAAAATAAGGCATGGCATTTCTTGGTTTGTTCCTGAAACATGTATAAGCAATCTGTATTCCTCTGTGCCTGCCATGCAACACTTCTTTTCAAAATTCAGCATCATTCAATAACAGGTTTTGTGTCAATTTTGCAGGAAACACTTTTCAGGTTGTGGTCTCTCTAGACCTGGATGTTCTTAGGTCTGTGATGTGCTAGTGTGCATGGAGTGGTGGTTGTTGTCAGTATTACTGTGATGACTGGGCACTCAGTTCCCCTTTTCCCCACAATGTTGAGAAGGCTTAATAACATACAAGAGGTAAATAAGTAAGACTTAAGGTCAAGTTCCAGCTGAAAGAGCTGAAATACTTGGAGAAAAATGAATCTTATGAAATTGTAATCCTCGTTGTAGCTCAACAACTGGGTAGTCAGCTAAACACTAAATTTTCTTTCTAGAGGCACTGCAGGCATATTCTTGCTATTACAGATGGAGGGCTTGAAGTTCACAGAGTTGAGTGGATTGCTGCTTTTGGATTCTGACACAAAGCTGGGGAGACAGGCTTATACCTCAATATCAGGCTACTCTGTGCTGGCAAGCTCTCATCAGTGTCTTTCCACCCTATCTGTTCTGACTTGGAGGCCTAACAGCTTCATGGTATGGTTTTCATGGAGTTACTCAACTATTGCTGTCTTCCTTCAGTCACAGGCATTGATGACTTCTCTCCCTATTTTATTTGTTTGTTTATTTCTTACTCTAAGCCTAGGTTCCTATTTCTAATCCAAACAGACACATTTTTGGAGACTTGCATCACCTGCTGCTGTGGTATTTAAAATACAAATGTAAATAAGCTCCCAGCTCTTCTCTCTGGGGATAAGTGCTTTGGATGTTTGAGGGGTATTATTTCTGGTTTGGTTTGCTGCCCTCTGTCTAATGCAAGTTTTTAAATGATGCTGTGCTTCTTTGGTCACTAATACTTAGCCTTTCCAATGGGGGATTATTTACTGTTGCATGCTTGATTTTGACTAGGAATAGTGAGGCAATAACCTTACATCTTAATTAACCAGAATTCATGATGCAGAGTTTAAGCTGAGACTCTGCTTTGGTGTCAGTGCTGTATGACTCACTAAAAATCCCAATACAATAGTAAAAAATCTTAATTGGCAAAATGATCACTCTTGTTTTAGCACTACAGGCCCTAGAGACAGAGCTAGTGAATAAAGATGTCAGACCCCTAGATACCTGATGAGAGCTGCTGTTGACTCATACTAACAATTATATAGAAAAAGTAGGGTTTCTTCTGCATTTTGAGTTTGCCAATGAAACTTCATGTTGAATAAGAAGGACATAACTGGGCCAGATTCATCTAGTCCTGCCTGTTGTCTCTGACAGCAACAGTAGTGGCAATAGAAGATGGGAAAAAAGAACAAGGCAGTGTTATAGTTCCTGAGCCAAAGGTAGTATCTGAGTTTAAAAGCAAGGTATCTGGCAGGTTGGGTAGCAGCCTCATCTGTCACCAGTGTGTATTTATTGCTGTCTGCAAAGTGCTGCACTGACATTACTGCAAGCAGGACCGAGGGCTAAAATGTCTCAGGCTGCAGTAGTGATGTCCTTCACCTGAAGAGAAGGCCAAACCCTAAGCCAGAGAAGTTAAATAAAATGGCTTGTTTTTTCTGTAGCTTGAATTGATGATTTATCTTGAAATCTTAAGGGGCTGCGTTATGCCTGTGGTAGAAATCATTCTTACAAAAGCTTAGTTGACTACTCTGCCTTGTTCTGTTGATACTGGGATAAAACAAGTAAAGGTTTAATAAGGATTTCAAGCAGCTAGCCCACACTATTCATTTTACATGAATGGTTATATACTCATGTCTGTTTAGCTATTCATTACCTTGCCCTTCAGAGCAATTGCTAACTAAAGACTAATTCATTCCTATTTTTATTAAAGCAAGTGTACTTGGTGCTGTTATGATGAGCAACAGACTAAATCCATTGTGGAAGAGAATTACAGCTGGAGCCAGAAGGGGTTTAGGAGATCAACATAACAGTTTTTGGTGGAAGAGAATGGTAGTTTAATAAAACATGAAACAGGATTAATGGTGTAGATAACCTTAAAATACTGACTAGCAAAGAGCATAGTTGCAATTATACATACATATATAGTAGTAACTGGCTGATGGTGAGTGCCTGTGTTTCAAAAAGACAGTGAAAATGGTATAAAAGGCCCTAAAGACTGATTTTTTGTGTTCACATAGTTTAATTTGAATGTTAGCTAAGCAGAGAAGCAAAAAAAAACCCTAAGTTATTTCTCCCATTTTGTGGAAACTTAAACTGGTTCTGGAAAATGAAATTCATGATAGCAAATTTCACAGTTTTACTGTGGTGCTGTAAATTCTGGAGCAGGCTCAACAACTCTTGGGTTGGTTTTCCATTCTCAAGCAAACTGACTCTCTGTTCCAGGACCCCCACCATGCTCCAGGGGTGTCCATGTGGCAGGACATGCTTTTCTGCTGGGAGCAGCCTTTAACCTGCTCAGCATGCAAAGTGCTGCATGAAGCTCCCACAAACGGCAGATGATTTCTTTGGTGTCAGGTTTTTGGAGACTTTTAGCCATGGGCTATGCTGGGGAATGAAGTCTTCCTCCAGCAGATTCTTCCAGACCTCTGAGGGCAATAAACTATATTTTTTCCCCAAGACCTCACTCGTTAATTTTATAGATGCTCATTTTTTGAAAATAAACTCCAGCAAGCATTTCCCATGTGTCTTGGTTCAACTGAGATGTGTAATAGGTCTTTGCCATAGCCTTTTGTACTAATCTTTTCGTTTAATTCACAGCAACAGTGAACAAAAATTGATAAGACAGTGCTGAGATTTGCTCACAACACCCAGTGTCAATAATATGGCATTATAGGAATGGTTTGTGACTGAATTGCCATTCACCTTTTGTTATTGTTGAGTTTTAGGCTATGTACACTGAAATGTCACTTCAATGAGGGTTGTTGTTTTTTTTTAATATTTAATGCATTTTTAATAATACTGTGACATAATTTCAAAGATGTTGTTTTAGTTCTGCTAGAAATGGATCTGGTTTTATTACACTTTCCAACACCAGTAGTACCTGGACTTAAGCTAACAGATATTTCATAATAGCTATGCTTTGTTTTATTTGTTGTACACATGTCAGGTAATCATATGCCCACAGGTATTTAGGCTTTGTTCCCCCAAGCACAGGTTTTTGGTGCTACATTTGCAGTGCAAGAGTAGAAGTCTTTGGTGCTCACTGAAGGAACTTGCCAAAGAGGTTTGGAAAAATGGAGTGGCTTCATCCTTGATCCTTTCTTTTGGGATGTACTTGTGATGTGAGGCAGTTGCTGTGTGGAATGGAGTGGCCATTGCTGTGTGACATACGTACAAAACCAGTATGGCTTCTTTTAATAACGCTCACTTATCTTAATATCAGAGCATTTTAGTATTAAATCCTCCTTCTGGGCAATGAGTGTGGGTTCCAAGTCAATAACTTCAGTGTGGGCTGAACAGGAGCAGGGTGCTGTGTGCCCCCATGGCTTCTGCACGTGCCAGCCCCTGAGTGTGCTGCAGGCTGTGAGGAGGGATGCAGCAAATGTCTGTTACATGTTGTTTAGTCTCTCAGCTTTTGCCCTGGAGGATGAGTGTGCATGCTGTTGTTTGTACCATTTCCTGGGGGTTCTGCTTCAAATCAACCCACAACTGTATTCTTGTTGTAGAAAGAGAAAAAGGAAAGGTTAAAGAAATGTGCTCTGCATACAGGTTGGGGTGTGGTAAGACTTGCCTTTAGCTTCTGTGACAATTTTTTGACTGTCCTTCGGGAAAACTCCATCTCCAGCACAGTGAACTTCACCTCTACATAAACAAAGTTGTGTTGTGCTAGTGTGTCATCACTGCTGACAATGTGATTTTCAGCCTGCAGCTCTGGGAGAGCTCTTAAACATATACCTGCAGTGCCTGAAGGATATTTTGTAACGAGCAGATGAGAACAGTGACCTGGCATTAGGCTTTTTTTTTTCCCATGTGGAAAGCTGTGATGGGAGAGCAGAGTAAGTTAGAGCTGCTTCTGATAGTCTGAATAACACAGGAGAGGTGTTTCAGCATCTTTATTTATTTATTTATTAGGAGCTCTTGGCTTTCTGTCTGTGCATGCTCTGCTGTTGTGCTAGTGTAGTAGGTGTGTGTCAGTTAAGACTGTGGCATCTTCCACAGAAACAGGATAAATCTTTAGTTGATTTGAGATGGTAAGAACCTACCAAAAAGACATTGCTTCCAGTTTCTCTGTGCAGTTGAAAGCAGGACAATAGCATTCAATAGGGAATTAGACAGGAAACAACTTCCTATTTCTAGAAATTCCTTTGTCTTTTTTTTGCCCCCACAAAAAGTTCTGTAGAACTTGATAAAGAAAGTGGAGGTTAATGAGCTGCTGCAGCAGCATACTGAAGTACTTGTTCAAGTTTCAGCAGATAGACAGTCCTTTGGAAATCTGAAGATTAAACCCTGGCACCAGTGGAGTGAGTAGCAGACTCCCATTGACTTCAGTGAGCCAGGATTCAATCTAATTTCCTAATTAAATGATCCTGTTCTTCAGAAAAAGCATTAGAAAGATAAATGTTCGGTAATTGCTTTGACTATTTTCAGTGAAATCTATTTGCTTAGGATAACATTTTTCCATGACAGTGGCATAACTACTTCTGTGATTTCAAACTGTGCAAGAGATGAATATGAAGGTGAGGTAGTATATTTGGGGATTATTCTCTCAAGGCAATGATGTTGGACTCCCTTGTTGTGGTGAAACAGTTTCCTTCATTTGCTCACTGTCCTGTTTCAGACTGTTGAAATCAAAGACAGCAAAAGATGTTTAGAATACTTCTGCAAACACCAGCTCTTAAAATAACATTGTAGTTTTTTACATTCAGACATGAATATAATTATTTAGAAGATAAAAGCCTGTGTGAGGAGGATCTTTCTCTCGTGAACAATTTCACCATTATTCCTTTTGATCTAATTGGCCTAAAGCAAAATTCCTCTATATTTTCCATTACAGAGGAAGAAAAGGGAGGTTTTTTTTGCTGCTTCAAGGAGAAAAAAAAAAAAAGTGATTTGACTGCCTCTATTCAAATAAATTGTTCTATTTACTACTTTTGCACTGGAGAATTATTTTACATTTTTAGAAGTAGTCCTAAAGATTTGAGCAGGTTTTCTGAATGAGGTGAATTGTGTGTTTTAAATAGAACAATAAAATCAAAACCAAAAGTTGCCTGAACAAGTCCCACTGCCACAAAAGAAAGAAGATCGCATTGTTAGTGAAAATGTGGGTCACAGCAGGATATGCTTCATCTGTTTAATTGAATCTTTTTATGAATGGCACACTTCCGTGCTTTTCTTATGAAAGGAAACACAATGTTTTCACTTATTGGGAGGTAGGAGCAAGACTTGTATTAAAGAGATTATAGGGTATGATTTATTCACCACCGGCTGCCAGTGCTTCTGACCTGTGAGATGATACCTTATGAGAGGGCTTTCTAAGGGCAGGGGAGTTGGGATTTTATCTGATGCCCTGGGGGAATATGTTGTTCAAGGACATGCTCTCCTGCTCCATAGAGATCTCGACTCAAAGACCAGCTGGAGGGTGGAAGTGCCATTGGAACACTAAATCTGGTAATGCAGCATTTGAAGGAAGGTTGTTTCTCCATGTCCACGTTGAGCAAGGGAGTACAGCACAGAGACACTGAGTTACCAACACCAGCTCAGGTGAGTATTCCATCCAGCATTCCATTTCCAAGCAGAGAGTTCAGCTGTAAGCCAACCCTGTTTCTGGTTCCTCTGTTAGCTCACACAGAGAGCCACCTTGAGTGTCTCTGCCCTGCATTGTGTTGTCTTTCCATCTTGGACTAAGTTTGTCAGGGAGCCAGACAGAAGCCTTTCTTTATGTCAAAATATCCTCAGCAATGAAACTGTGACCCAGGTAGAGGGTTAACTGCAAAAAAAAAAAAAAAAAAAAAAATTCTTCTCTGCCTAGGAAAAATTATCCAAGGTTACAGTTCCCTTGGACTCTGAGAGAAGACAAGACTCTAGCAAGACTGGAAAAGATGCAAAAGCAGTTTACTGATCCTCTTTATTACTAAATCAATCCACAGGGATGAGGTAGGAAGATGATGTTGGATCCGTCTGTACTGATACAGAATTACGTGGGGATGTTTTCATTTGATTTAGATGTATTCCCTCTGATGGTAAGATAACTTCCTGAAAGGAAATAACATCTGATTTGGACAGATGTCTGTCATTGTAATTATAAGCTTTCAGGTGGTTAATGACAGCAAAAATGGTCAGATTCAAAATATTTAGGCTACCTCCCAAGTGTGTTCTAAATCAGATTGAGCCCTTGCACAGAAACGTGAAATAAATAAGCACATCCTCCCTGGGGCCTCTTGCACATACAGATAGAAAACAATTTTTGTCAGGGGAAGGTAAACTGCGTTTGGTAAAGCCAGAAAATGAATCCATACAAAAAGAAAGAATAAAATTCTCCTCTGTATCATTAGCATGAGTCCACTTCACTATTTCCTTTCCAATAACATCCAGAATTGGGCCACAGTTTCAGGCCTCCACTTCTGACTTGAAGCAATAACAATAATAACCACAGAAAGGTTTTAGAAAGGCTTTTTGTTTGGTCCTCCTTAGAAGGACTAAAATCATCTCAGCCAAAGATTTAGGGGTTTGATTTTAAGATCTCAGTTCTGTTGCTTTCTTTTTTTCTCTCTCTCAACAAGGTCCTCAGCTGGTGCAATTTCTTATCATGGAATAATCTGTTCTATGTCTTGCAGGGAAAATATAATCTTTGTTGTCTCTGTTAGCCAAGTCATCAGCAGGGAGAGAGAATAATATTGGAGCCTCTTGAACAGATTCTTTGCTTGGATTTCTTGCTTGCTTGGGAGCGTTTTCTTCTCCCCAAACACCATTCAAAGCAAGCACTTTTCCAAGCCCTGCTCATTACCCAGGACTCCCTTTCAATACCAGATTCATATTAGTCAATGTTTATGCAACTTTCCAAATGTTACAGGAGAAGGAAGAATTCTTTGCCAGCCATAAATCTGGGATGTGGGCATATTTGATGGTAATAGCTCATCACATGAGCTAATTAGTTGGTGATTACTTTAACATGAAAGGAAAACATAGTATAAAAACTTTATTGTATTCCACTTGTCCTCCTCATACAATAACCCTGAGTTACTTCCATATATTTTTTCCTTTTTGTTTTGATTTTAACATCCTAGGGCTGTTAAGTCTGCTTTACTGCTTTTCCGTATCTTATTTCAAAATGTGACCTTACACAGGATTCAGTTCATCAGTTAACAATTAACAAACAGGCTTCTTTCCAATCATAGTTAAGTTCTTTAAATGATGTTTATTCTGATCTCTCTTAAAGCAGAATAATTTATGCAAACTCCTCTAACCTTGAAATGGAATTCAGACTGCCTGCAATTACCTGCAAAGTTCAAATTAACACAGAAGCCTTTTTCACTTCACAAGCATCTTTTTTTTTTTTAAGTTCAGGGTCACTCCTCAGCCTCACCTACAGAAGGCAGAATGGTTTTGGCTTTTTGTGTCCTGGTTTCATGTCACATCTTCTTAAAAGGATGAGTGGCACTGGCCCTGCTCCAGTGTGGGCTGAGCGACAGGTCGCTGGCAGCAATTGGCAGCTGCCAAGTTATGAGTGGGCAAATTTTCTGTGTCCTGCACCCCATGTTCCCACTTTGCAGCTCTCTTATAGCCATGGTTGAAAGATGGCTTGCAACAGGTAAGAAATCTCCTCAGTTAATGGAGCTTCCACAGGAAAAGGTGTTTCCTGTGTACCCATCCACTCAAAATTTGCCATTTCCACGTCTGTGACAGAGTGAGGGACTCTTGGTTTTTTTCCTGCTAGAGTAGAGCAATCATGGAATTTTCTGTTTGATAAAGGTTTGGAGGTTTTGAAACTGCACTTGCATGCAGCTAATGTTACCTGTCTTTTTTTGAAGTGTCCATCCTGCAGCCACCCCCGATCTTTGGGGAAAAAAAAGGCGAAGGAGTAGCCATGTGGAGAGGCTCCTGTCTGGATGATTCCCCAGCTCACAGCAATCTGCCAAGAAGCTGGCAGGGCCTAGGGTCATCCACAGTGAAGCTTGGGATCCCAGATCACTTTGAGAGGCAGCACCAGTGAAACCAGCCTGTGAAAAAGCTGGAGGTAGGTCTGTGCTTGCTTACGGGCTTTCAGCTCCCTGTCACACGGTGAGGAAGACTTCGGGGATTAAGGGTAAGGACGAAGTCAGCTTTCAAGCTGATCCTCTCTCTGAACCAAGTCATTCCAGTGGAACATTTCAGTGAGAGTCATTTCCCAGTGGAAAAATGTAGTGCTGGAACATCATCCGGCCAGCTCTTGTTCCTGTTTTATTCAGGACTTGAGCACTCTGGTCCTAATTCTTCAGTTCCTTAAATTTCATCCAGGCATTTACACCTGTCGGATGTGGGTTTAGCAGGCTTTGCTGTTCTGCTTTTATGCCTTTCTTTGTACTTTTCCCAATATAAATAATACTAGAACAGCAAAAGCAACTGAATAAATGGCTGGAAGAAATGAGATGCAATAAGAAACCAAGGTGTTCATTTTCAGAAAAGCAAGATCTATTCAAAGCCATTGCCTATCTGGTTTTTAGGTACTATTTACTCAAAAAGGGAATAAAGTATATTGGAAAATTTTTGAAAATCGGTCCCTCAAAGGAAAATCAAGGATTGTACCTGCTGGCAGATGGTTTGGTTTGCAGATACCTGTGGTTTGTGCCATGTGCCAAAAGTTGTGCTGAGTTAGTTCAAAGGCTTGGGATGTCAGGGGGGAACAGCAGGACTGCCTGAGTTCTGCAGTCAGCTGGACTCAGCTTATGAGACTAATGCAAGAGAGGAGTTATCCTCCTATCTCTGTCCTTAGGTGCTCTGAAATTTAAAAAAGGTTTTATGGCATCTTGGGAAGCCTGTGGTCTGATTCTCCACAGTGTAAAAATCAAGCAGTAAAGTTAGAATTATTAGAAATTTCTCAGCTGCTCCTTGTGGCTCTTGACGTGGCTGTAAGTGGAGTATATGTGGCCTGACCATTTCCATAGCTGGTTGCTGATGGAATTCCAGGGCTGGTCCTGGCAGTTTGGGCATTTGGCATGCTCTTGAAACAAGCTTATTTGTGATAGGGAATTGACTGGGCACTCATCTCTCTCTCAGGTTCTCGAACACTCTCAGTGCAGCTGAAGGGACATAATTAGCATTTTAAATAAAGGCAGTGCTTCAGTGAAATTATTTTGGTTAAGATGGCCCTGTGGAAGGGTTTCAGTGTATATTTTATGCACTCATGATAGCTTGCCTCACCTGAAAGACTGAGGTCTGCAGTAGCTGAGGCTTCTGGTGGAGTTCAGGGACCTCTTCAAACAGAAGTGGTTACGTCAAGTCAACTTGGAAATAATAAAATTTGAATAATCAGTGGCAAGGGATTGCCCTGCTCAGATAAACTTTCTGTAAGTCCATGTGTTTTTAGCTTTCATAGTAAGGTAATGCTGAGATAAAACTGTAACAAGGTGATCTAGCTCCAAGATCACAGAGTTGAATTTGGAGAAGCTGATGTACAGGTGCATTGCTTTAACAGAGAAAAGTGTGGGTCTGAGTCAATGGTGTGTGTTTGGGGTCTTGGTGTGTATCCTAAAGGTCAGACACCTGCAGAAGGGAGGGACTTTATGACATATACGCCACCTTCTTCTTAACACTCAGGCAAGTCAACTAGCCAGTTGAAAGTTTGGTGTCTGAACATACCAGTTGGTCATAAGATGAATGGCTGTTTAAGAGAAAATGGCTGTTTATGCCTAATTAGAATCCTGCCAGCTGTGTCTGCATGGCTTTGGTCTAGTGAGGCCCAAGAACATCTGGTCCTCATAAAGACTATGAGCACAGAGAGGGATTTTGGTCGATGGGAGGAATGCATCACTCATGTGACTGCGAGGCAGATGGCAAGAAGTGTGATGGTAGAAAAGTTCCTCTGGGAGTCCCTGGTTAAGGGAAGCATGTCAGAGTCAATCTCTAAACACTGCAGGCCATGTTAGCTGGAGGAACTTTCTGCCCACTAAATTGTTTCCTGAGGCAAACTGTATCTGAACAAAATAGATTTTTGGTGTAGCATGTTTTCTTCCTGCCTTGATGAAACAGCTGGCCTGTATATCCACAGAAACACACCATGGCTCTTATATTATTTTCTGCAAGGGATAATCAGTAGTGAAACACTGGAACATGGAATCCTTAGCCTTTTCTCCAGCTTGTTCAAGAAAGTGATTGTGATTAAAATAATGAATGAATGAAGGAAAAGAACTTGGCCTCCCATTGTTAAAATGTTCTATATTTCACCAAACTAGTTAATACATTAATCTTCCAATCCTGTTACTGCTGGATTGCAAATAGCAGGACTTTCACCAGCTGTAGGGAGTCCTGGATCCCTGGAGCTTTGATAAGCAGAGAGAAAAGTCTAAAAGTTCAGCATATGAGGAAAGAAGCCCAGATTCCTTTTCTGGTGAATAATAGCAGTGAAGTGGTATTGTTCCTGTGTTTGCATTAGCTCGTGGAAGTCACACAGTATTCCCCTTGTGTGGCATCGTTTTGCCTGTACGTCCTCTTGACCTGACTATTGCAGCTCTCTGGCCCAAATCCCAGCTCTCCAGCAGGAGCAGAATGCTGCAGTCTGCCCTCTTATAGATGTGTCAGGAAACATGAGTGTCAGCCTCGTTTTCTAACAATTATGTTGACTCCCATCTGCTTTAGGATCCAGCTCAAAGCGCCCTGCTCTATTTAAAACTCTGTTTGACAATCTGGATATTAGCACCAAGCACAGGACAGCACAAGACTTCTCTTGAAAACAAAATACATAGAAAGGAAATAATTTTGTTGAAACACGTTAGTGGATATTAAAAGCTGGACTTTGTTTCAATCACTGTGTTCTCCATGCATCTGACAAAAACAGTGTCTGGCTTATCTGTTACAGAAAACTCCTGTGATCAAAACTCATTTCAGCTGCTGGAAACCGTTGTAATTTTCTTATTGCTAATTATTTACACCAGGAGAATGAAACCTAATTAATTTCTTTAGGTACTTTCTGTGATTGCTCGGCTTTCTCAAGGGAAAACTGAGGTCAAGAATCAGAATTCTTGGAAGGATTTGCTTTTTTGAGATGGTTTCCAAAGGTTTTCATTGCACCTGGAATTTGTCAGCCATATCCCCTTGGGCTGTGCAGAGAGAGCATTATGCATGAACTTTTGGAGCTAGTGAAAGAGGATGCTCCAGGATTAGAGTCTTAAGCAGTCACACACACTTTTCTTCCTGTTCCATTTCCCCTCCAGTCCCAGCACTCCCAGGTCCAACCTGCTTTTTCTGTGGCAGGGATGATACTTTGGGGGTAGGCAGTGACAAGATTGTGTAGTTAAACTGTGAGTATCTTTTGAGATAAAATTCACAGCCTTTACCTAATCAGGTGAGACTAAAATACTGCAGCTCAACTAAACTTAAAAACATTTATGGTTTTCTCTTTTTGGTCCAAAGACCCTCTTATCTAAAACAGATGAGAGCTTTTCTTTGTCTTTGGAATTCATTATTCTTAAATTTTATGCTTATAAACAAACTATCAGCACTTAATGAAATGAAATACTTTTTAATAACGGCATCTATACTTTACAGTAGTAAGAAATAAAACTTCACGATAGTCGTATTTAATGAACAGATAATCAGCACCTCTTCTAACATATTTAAATGAGTTTAAGGAAGTGGGGTTTTTGGTTATAATATTTGGTTTTCCTTTATTTTTTTTTCTTACAATGAGATTTGGGCATTTAAATCTTAGACTGCTTGGAGAACAGAAGTCTTACTCCATTTTTGGCCCAGAATTCAAATAGGGGGGAAAACTGTCAGCCTGGAGCTGGATAAAACATCTCCCAGATTTTATAGGGAGTTTGAACTTGGGATTCTGAATTCATTCATTCCAAGGAAAGAAGCCAGACAAGAAGCTATATGTATTGAAATATTTTATATGTATTAAAGTATTTGTATGGCTCTCATCATGAGTTTTTGAGTGAATAGTTTTGGATCTGGATTTCAGCAGCGGTCAAGAGCCTGGATCAAGGCTTTAATTTAGGGCCATCTCGCGTTTTAAATGGCTTCTGTGGGTTTATGACCTTACTTGCATTGATTTTTTTTTTTTGTGTTTGAAACTTGATGCATTTCAGACACTTCAATGATTTAAATTGGCAAAGCATAGCAAAGTTGTTTGCAGGTAACTTATGAATATCATGGGAAGCTGACACCTGTGATTGTCAACCTTGACCTCCAGCCATCTTTGCTTTAATTAAAATCTTTGTGAAGAGCTTTGTCTAGTCAAAGATCTCTGAGGAAAGGCAAAACCACAAGTATCATTAGTAGTAAGTGCACCATAAAAGCTTAAAAATAGAAATTAATTTCTAATGATAGAAAAAAGGAGAAACATGTATATATTTTATATATATATATATATATGCACCAGCTCAAGCTGGAAAAATTGCCTAGGGATATGGGAAAATCTAAAAGGGCAAGAAGTTCTGTGTTGCTTCCTGACATTTGAGCAAACAGGTTTTTGCAGCTGTGTGTAATTACAAGAAGTTAGAGAACTGTTTATTTAACAATGATATATTTATACATTTACTAGGAAATACAGCATTAGTCAGGCATTAAAATATCTGTTAAGCTATCCATTATAGTATCTGCAAACTGAAGCCTTTAAGTAGTCATATTCTTCCGTAGTATTCTTCCATACAATCATTTTTCAGTTTCCTGTAAACACAACAAGAGAGGGATAATCCAAGGGGGAAGTTCATGGAAGTTCACACAGAAACAGAGATGTGCACCTTGAAGTTTATTTCTCTCCCTGATATAAATTTAACACCTGTTTACGTGTCAGGGCTTCTGAATTTTGGGGTGGTTTTGGTATGTTAGCTGCACTTTTGTTAGGTTAGGAAAGTGTAGTATAGTATCTTCATTCCTGATGGGGAAAACTGAGCTCTGGACTGATAAATGCAAAAGGCAGAGGGGAGACTTAGATGCCCAAATCCAAGACTAACCTCTTACCTGCAGGCACATCAGTAAGTGAAGATTTTTGATCACATGAAGTAATGCATGTCCTGAATGAGTTCTGTTACAGCA